AGTAACCCGTTGAATTTTAAAATACTTTTTAACGTGGATTCTACAACCAGTATAAGTCAATTTATACCATAATTATCAAGTTCTAATCCATAGCATGCAAATCCAAAACTATATATAGTCAGAATTTAAATCATATTCTTAACAATAGAAAATATACATTTTAACTCATTATGAATATTTATGAATTATATGATAGAAAATAAAAACAATTAAAATACTATATAGTTAAATCAGAAAAAGTAAAATTTATGTTAGTAATCTCATAAAAACTATAAATAATGTTGTGAACCATCACATAAATACATGATTGATAAATGTATTTTATTAATGTCATCGTTTTATTTTTCATAGAAATTTATGCTCGCCAAACTTTATACAATATTAACTTAATAGTAAATATATTATAGCTAATATAAATTTTCAATATATACACTTGGATAGTACCAATGACGTAATAGGTCGAAAATTTCTATTTTCTTTGTGATATTCTATAAATCTATATTGATAAAATAAGTATTCTTATAGTTTTTTTTTTTTGCATAATTGTGTATATCTCTAACCTTTCTTAATTTTTTTTTCTCAATTTATATACCTTTTTTTTTTATCATTCATGTTTTTATTTATTTTAATTGACATTTTTATTCTGTATGTAGTATTTTTATCATTCATCTTTTTTTTTCTTAGTTAGTATGGATAATATTAGAAATTTTAATTTTTATTATTTGATTAGTAACTTGATAATTAATTTCTACTTTAAATTTCATTTTTCTTAATTAATTTTAAATTTTAACACATTCATCGTCTGATCAATATTAGATACATGTTGCGATCTCGTGAGTTATAATTTTGTCTGGGATTCATGCTTATATAAAAATGCATTGCGGTAAATACTTTTGATTTTAAAATTTATAACACCTTATTTGACAAATTTATTTAATATTTATTTTATTATTATATCTTATTATAGTTTATTAAATCGTCAGTTTATTATATTTATCTCATACTAAAATTGTGTATTACACGTTATTATATTAGCAAAATGACATTTATAATATGACATCTCTTTTTTTCTTTAACAATTTAGATAATTTGAAATGGAAAGAATGTATTTTGTAATATAACAATTTATAAATATTACCTATTTTAGTAAGATAATTTTTTTCTTTTTGTTAATTAGTCTATAATCCTTATTTAGAATATATTCATTATTTTCTTTTTCTTTTTAAATTTTTGTTAATATTGATACATGCCACAATCTAAACTAAAAATTACATGTGTCGTAATCTGGTGAGTTACAATTTTCTTTACGTGTCATGCTCTCATCGCGCGCATCCTCCTTTATATAATAAGATAAGATCTTTTGTTCTTTTATCATTCATGTTTACTTTTTCATGATTATATT